CTCTGCAATCAGTTATAGGTACAACAAAATCAACTATTTTCGGTACACTTTAGCTCTTGTAACAAACTCATACTTCATAGATTCTGACTCTAACCTGTATAATTACTTTGGAAAGTGTAAGGCCTTTCATATGATCATAATGGTACCAGTTTTACTTTAGCATGTTTTGAGAAAAGGGAGAATAATGGAATAAATGGCATTTTAAGAGGAAAAATGGGCTGTATCGTGAAAACTATAACATTTTTTGCACAATAGATAACAGTAGTGTTGAGAGGAAACATCAGGCTTCTTGATGCATCAGTTTCACTAACATGAGAACAGTCTTTCGCCAGATATTGCTCCTAAAAGAAGGAAAAGTAGCATGAAAATGGTGACAAAATTACAACAAGCCTCGGTTTGCTTAGTAACAATACAAATGAATGGAGGTTGGGCTACGCCCACGCACCCGTTTCCAATCCCTTTCATTTACTCTAATATCTATGGCAGGATTTCATTTGGGAAGTCAAAATTTTGAAGATTAGGCCTCTTAAATGAGCTCCTTTGTGGTTTAAAGACTGTTTACACAGTCAAGTACTGCAGCTGTTTTACAGTTTACATAGATAAAACTAATTTTATACTTGACCAGAAAAATTTTTGGGGGGGGCCTGGCCCCCCTAGATCCGCCCCTGCATGGTAGTAGATAGCCCTCTGCTCTGCTATGTGATCTGCAGTGGCATCTGCATAGCTAGTATAAATGAAGAATGAGGGCACAGTGGGGGCACTGAATAAAGCAAAGCTCATGAATTCTCAATAAAGCAAGCTCATTCTAGTCAGTTCAGTCAGTTGTAACTTGTCTCTTCATTCTCCTGCCTAGTTGCAGGGGCACAAGAAGCAGTTATGAGGGGCACTTGCCCCTATGTAGCTACGCCACTGGTGATCTGGAGACTATATGTGATCTGGTGTATGACTTGGGCTTGTCCCAGTGTGTCTCCGTTCCGCCTACACATATAAAGGGTAACATTTCGGGCCTTGTTCTCAGTTACCAATCAAGTTGTGAGGATAAGATCTCTGATGTTACTATACTACAATCACCTTGGTCTACCTCGGATCACCACTTAATCTCTCTTTCATTACTTGCAGGCTGTCCTAGAGAGCCAAGGAATCCCCCCTCATCTTTTCTTAACTACTCCAAAGCTGACTATCATGATATGTGTGACTTTCTGCTTGACTGGGATTTTGCCTCCTGCTATTGATTACAAATTAAGATGTTGACCTTATTTGGAGTGAGATAGTGCCTGCCATTTATACCTCTATTGATAAGTTTGTCCCAAGTCCCAACGGTATTTGTTCCTAAGAGACACTCCTATCTATCTCCCTCTGTGGTTTAATAATTCTTTGAGACATAACCTAAAGTGCACGAGGACTGCTTGTAGGAAGTGCCAATCTAATCCAACTCCTGAGAGGATGAAGTCTGTGCCTCTGTTGGAGTCCAATCTTAGTGATGACATTGTTAAGGTGGAGGCACATTACATCTCCTTTCTCATCAGTCATGTTAGATCAGTTACTAACCAGTCTCTCATTCCCCCTGCAGTGTGGTCATTCATGGTTCTAAAACTGCTTCCACTCCTAAAGAACAGGCTGAACTATTCAATGATTACTTTTTCTCTGTTTTCTCTCCCTATCCCTCCCTTCCCTCTCTGTTCTCTCTCTCACTTCTCTCCCACTGTAGCCTGTAGGTACGGTGTACTCTGGAAAGAGTTGAGATATCGTTAGCTGATGTTTTCAAGGCTCTATGTGAACTAGATCCCTCTAAAGCAATGGGTGCAGACAGTAGTATTGGTCCCAAAATTCTCTAGTCCTGTGCAACTGCACTGTGTGAGCCACTCCATCATCTACCGTATAGGGAGTATATTTCCCGGGGAAAATATTTCACGAAAATTACCTTTTAACCTATTCACAAGGAAAAATGTTTGCATTTTTCTTCTACTGACCATTATTAGTATGGTAAAAAACAATTTTCATAGGTAAAAATTTTCACGAATTTTTTAAAACTGTGAAATTAGCGAAATTAAATCTCCGTGAAATATACCCCCTATACAGTATTCTGTGTCTCTCTCATTACATCACATATCCCATCTGAGTGGAAGCTACACTGTATTCATCCCATTCACAAGTCAGGTGTGTCCAATTATAGACCTATCTCTCTACTTTCATGTGTTTCAAAGGTCTTAGAGGGGCTAACTTACAATAATGTGATTGATTTTGTTTTCCCATCTATCTCTACGAGCCAATTTGGTTTTCTCCGTGGCAGATCTACACTACAGCAGCTACTTGTGTTCCTCTCTGACATATTTTGCAATATTGATATGAGACAGCTAGCAAACTGATGCTGTGTACTTAGATCTACACAAGGCCTTTGATAGTGTTCCACATGATAAGCTACTTGTTTAAGCTATTCTTGACCGGTATTTCTGGCAGGTTATCAGGCCCACTGAGAGGGGGGGGGAGCAGGGGATAAATCCCCTGGGCCCCTCACTTCAGGGGGCCCCATAATAATGTACATTATAATTAAAGTATAATAAGTCATCATTTAATACATGATTAAACATGTGCCTTTCTGGTTTTTAAACTAGCAAAATGATGTATGATATAATCAAAATTTAGCTGTTCTGCAAGTTTGCTTTTAATTGCTAGTGTTCCTAAGTCAGTCAATCAATTTTCGGTCATATTTGAGCATTGGTAGTTCTTGTCATTTAATTTGTAATTTTTTTCATTATTGCAAAGGGCCCCTAATTTTAATCTTCCCCTGGGCCCCTTGTCTTCTCTCAGCGGGCCTGCAGGTTATGGGAATGGTTTTGTGAATATCTGTCATCCAGAGTCCAGTGTGTGTCTATTAATGGGGTTTATTCTACTACTCTCTGTAGTGACCGAGAAGGAAAGGTAAAGAGAGGTCTCGCGGGAATCAACGAACGAATTTATCAATAAGTTAAAAACTTCTTCTTAAAACTGAAGAATGCACACACTTAAATACACAGAAATCAATTGCATCATAATACATCACTGACACACATTGCATAATATTACATAACACTAGAAAGGAATCCTAATCAACAATGCATACATTATATAACCTACATAAGAAATGAAAATAAGTACAGAAATAATAATTAGGAAAAATGATAATAATAATAATACAATACATCCCTAGGAAAATAATTATAAATAAGTATACATTAACATTATCAGTTATAACACTCTCCCTGTTTCGTCTGGTGTCCCCCAGGGCAGCATTTTGGGTCCCTTGCTTTTTTAAATCTTTGTTAATGACATCCCATCACTGGTTAATTCTATATCAGTTCTTCTATATGCTGATGACACCAAGTGTTATCATCCTATTCATAACATTTCTGATTCTGTGAAGATGCAA